GAACTCTTTGTAGTTCTCAGACCTTTGAGAGAAAGTCCCCCCTCATTGAGTCCAGTGATAGTTTGTAAGGGTTAGGGTTAGGGTTAGAGTAGGGTAACCCTACTCCACCAGAACGAAGTTCTGAGTGAAAATGATGGAAATATCATCGATCCTTCCTGTTTCTGGGAGCAGATATACAGCAGGTATACAACCCCCCAAAAGAATGTTGTCTTCTGTCCACTGCTTTTCATCTCTCTATTTTATCTTTCCTCAAGTTGGTTCAACTCTAAGGATCTGAGATTTCTCGGTTTATTAAGTAACTGTCATGAGTGCGGTTTTAGTTTAGCTCCTTTTTCTGAGTTCTAGTTTCCATGCTTTAGTTTCTGGGCTTTATTTAAGCAGTCTCATGTCAATCAGGGTTTCTGGTTTCCTGTTTTATTCTGGTGTCCCTCTTTCTTTTTTCGTGTCTCAGTTTACTTCCCAGAGTACCTCTTTTTCTGGTTATCTTTCTCCTGTGTGAAAGGGTTAGGGTTAGGGTTAGGGTTAGGGTTAAGGTTTGTCTGTGTTTCTGTTACCTGTCAGACCACTAACCACACAGCCCTGATTAAAAGCTTCCTGATCATGTTTAAAGTCCTGAAGTTAATATGCCCATAAGGCAGTAATCAACAGTACACATGCATTACTACGCGTTGTGCTGTTTAAAGCTCATTTTTGGTCCATTAGCTACAGCTAGCTGCTAAAGGGCCAATCAGAGAGCAGCTGTTATCTGTATGTTATCTGTATGTGGTTTGTGTTTCTCACCTCGTCATACGTCCACACAGCACTGGCCAACTCCACACAGAAGATCACCAGCAAACTCCCAAAGTACTGGAACACACAGTTTGGACAGAGTGAAATCTAATCCCATTATCAAGGCAAAGGACGGTCTGAGAAACCTGTTTGAAACTTCTTTTTTGTCAAATTAGAGATGCCTACATATTTACTATTAATTTATTTTTCCTTTTTTATTTTGCAAACACAATGCTATTCGGTTCATTTGTATCACTTTTGTTTTCCCAGTTGTTTTGCTCTCACTTTCTGGAATACTCTCAGATATTGTTGGCTATTTATGCACATAATTGACCCCCTGAAGTCAAAGGGTCCAAATGAACTGTAAATGAAGTCCTGCTATTCTCTTTTCCTCCTGGAAACCGTAACGGCTGTGGACCTGTTCTGTGATCAGTTGGTAGCTCTGGTGGGCGACCGGTGTCATGTGATCTCCCAGGTGAGTGAGGGGGCCTCAGGTGGGGGCCCCCCCCCCCCCCCCCCCCCTCTCTCTGTTCCCTCCTGAATCTTATCTGCTCTCAGGGACAATAGGGAACCGGACACCTGGCTGACAGGTGTTCCTAACCTCAGAGGGACAGATGGACCTCTGTTCAGATCAAATGTTGGGCTTGGACTTCACGATGCCTTCACTGACTACAGTTTTCAGACTTTTCCCATGGAGTTTCCACCCTTAATTAGCACTGCCTCTCTGCCCTGTTCCTCTTTTAATTAATCTGTTAAGAGCCTTTTTTAGATCAGCCATTGCCTGACTTTATGACTCACTAAGCTGTCCTAGTTGATTGTGTTTTATCCATATGTGCCACACAGTTATGTCATTTCATTGTATTACACATCTTAATATTCTTAAACATAAAAGGTAAAACTGTTTTTATTATGGAAAAAGGCTTATTCTCACCGTGTACCTCAGTCAGATTTGTAGCGCCTTAAAAAGTGCTAATAATCTAATATTCTTTAGAATTTTTATCTGAGATCTGCTTTCTAACCAAAATGTTGAATTGTTGCTGAAAGTTACTGTCAAGTGTGTTTTCACCACTTATATTTATGGCTTTAATGGTGAACTTTGCCATCTTGTGTTCTTGAAATGTGAGCTCAAAAACAAAGTGCCTCCTTTTATTTCTCCTCCATCACACATAGAAATCCCATATCTGCATTTGAAGCAGTTGATTTCATGTGTGTGTATTTGTGTGTTTTTTAGAAATGGGGTTGTTTTTAATGACATTATCCACCACACGTGTGTCAGTAGTAATGGTGCATGTCCTCCACATGTGCTGCACACTGTCTGTACAGAAGTTACCCCACAGGCCTCATAAATGCTCCTAAAGGCGTCTATTTGAACCTTTTCAGGGCCTGAAAAGCACATTTATGTTCCCAAGCACTAAATGGTACATTTATGGCCGTACATACACTTTTAGAACAGATCCCTCACAACACTTTAGACATGGACCCTCTTTGAGACGCACAAACAGAAAGGCTCTAGCCTCTGAGGACACAGGCCCTGTTTTTGTTTGCGTGTATGTGAGAAAAAGGAAGAATGGGTGGGTACCCAGGACAGGAGCAGCAGGTTGCATCTGAGCGTGCCGCAGTATCCCACCATGGCCACGATGATGAGGAAGCAGCACACGGCGATGATGACGGGGTGCACGGCCGGAGAATAGGTGAGGACAGCGGCCTCCTCCAGCCTGGACACACAGACCGGCCTGTCAGACCCTCAGCCCAGGTTAGGACAGGATTTTACAGGGCCCAGGTTAGGGTTAGGACAGGGTTTTACAGGAACATACACGTCAGGGTTTGGGCCAACAACTCGGTCATTTGTATTGTGAGGTGTTTAATCCTTTAAAGGCCTGCATGCTGAAATAATTTCCATAAACTGAGTTTCAGTGAGTACTTGTTATCTAAGGTGGGTCTTTGATCAGAAACAGCTCTAAATTTACTACAGAAAAAGTCAATCTTTGTTTCATTAGCTGTTATTTGGGAAGTGGCATTTTCCATCATTTTAAACTGGAAAGTCTCTGTAGCTTTACCATTTCTAGGCTAATTTAAGGAACTCAGAGTCCAGCTTCTTTAATTTTTTAGATGAATTTCCGGTGGCAGCCAAAATGGTTTAAGAATAAGGAGCCAAACGGAGCAGAAAGTCTCCCGATCTGATGAGTTAGGAGATGGGCAGACAATAGAGTTATGGGACCTCTAGTTTGGGACCATTAGCATTGTTTTGGACCTCAGAACATTGTGATTTGCACAAAACCTGCGTTGCTCTTTGTGTTTTGGTTCAGCTCTATTGGCTTTACTATTCCTTGTTTGTTGTTACATTTTTCTGCAGGTTCCCCTGAGTTTAGCCTTCCTGTTGACATGCTGTCTGCCAGTACATTCTTCTGTCTGTTTTCCTTGGTTTATTGTCACATATCTTCTCTCAGTCAGCTCATCTCTGTCTGTCTGTTGACGGTGGAGGACCTAAAGTGACCAAAGCCAGCCTCCACATGGAGTGCCGAAGCAATCATTTTTACTCCACTGGATCAGAACCTGACTCCAGTGAAACCTGAGCTGGACTCACCTGGTGTGGGCCGTCAGGGTCAGGACGGTGTTCAGGGAGTCTCGGATCCAGGCGGCCACCCCCAGAACACACGCCGACATCAGCTGCACACACACACAGAAATAAACCACATGGATCCATTTCTGCTGCCCGCAAATAACAGCTCAGAATGTGAGACGCTGCCTCTCTGTGGCCTGATCTCACTCCCAGACGGGTCAGGTCTCTGGACCAGATCCTCTGATTAACCTTCCTCACACCTGTAGGTTGACCCAGCACTCATAGACTCATAAACACTGACTTTCCCCTGCTAGTTAGTTTAACAGATTCCCTCCACAGCCCTGTGGCACCGGCCTGGACCCTCCCGTGTCCCGGGGGTTAGGGTTAGGGTTAGGGTTAGGGGGGGGTTAGGGTTAGGGTTAGGGTCAGGGTTAGGGGGGGGGTCTCACCCAGAACAGCAGGTTGAGCGCGTACAGCAGGCAGCGCAGGCACCTCACCGCGTCCTCGCGAGCCATCCGGACGGGATTACGGCCACGCGGCTCATCCGAGCCCGGGGCACCATGGCAACATCTCACTGTGCACGCGCACGGCGCGCGGGGGTCTCTGGGTGCGCGGGGCCGCGGGTCTGGAGCCGCTACGCGCGTAAACTCCGCATCCCGCACCCTAACCCTAACCCTAACCCAGCAGGGGCTCCGGGAAAGTGCCCAACAGGTGGAGTCCGGCTCCCGCTGACCTAACCCCGCCGGGGGGGGGAGCGCGTGCGAGTGCGCGCGGCGGAGCTGACATGTTCAGTCAGTCATCAGTGCGCTCATCCCCGCTCCTCAGGCGGGTCTCCTCCCGTTAAAATCCAAAACACGCAGTCCACGGCCCCCAAAAGTCCCCTCCGGTGCGTAAAAAGCCCAAACCGTCGAGCTGGAGTCCTCTATGGTCGGAGGGGGGGCGGTGTGTCCGTCCTGACCCTCTTCTTCTCCTAATTAAAGGCGTACAGCAGCAGCCCCCCCTCCCCGCCTGTCCGCGGGTCCTCGGGGAGGACGCAGGAATGTGTCCGCCTCCAGGCCCGGAGCTGCGGGGTCAGCAGACCCAGCTGCTGCAGCCAGAGCGCAGAGGACGCGCGCAGATCTCACCGTGCACGTGACATGTTTCTACCAGCCCTCAGACCCCAAATCAAACCAGAATATTAGGGATCCGGACCCTCTGTCCGGGATCCAACACGAGCCCGGTGATCAGTTCACTTATCTAAAACATCTCTTTCACACATTAGTTAACTGCTGTTCCCATTCCTATTTCTCCAAGTCAGTGTGCTCTTATAACTTATTTCTGGGTAAAAAAAAAACAATAATGTGGATTGGTGTGTGTCCTGCTGCCCTCGAGTGAAAGCTGATAAATAAATCTCAATGGACAATTAATAGTAATAGAATCACAGTTTAATAATGTAGATATATTTTTTTTAATTGAAAAAGCACATTTGAATTATTGCATACAATTGGTATCAAAGAAGGAATAAGCTTAAGAAGGCCAATACATCAATACATATATATTTTTTAAATTTATGTCTGTACGATCATAAATATTAAAACGTAGTATTAATCCCCCTCAGAGCTCTTTATTAGACCCATAGCGTGAATTTGTCAAACTAAGTAGAGCGCACTAATAAGTAAAATAATCTCTGAACCGGAATGGTCTGCAGCGCTCCTTAAACTACAGTTCCCACAATGCACCTGTGGTAAACTGGCAGACCTACGCACGCCTCCTCCGGACCAATCAGCGGACGGGACGCTGCGTGCGTCACGCGCGCTGACTCCGTATTTTTCCTGAGTGGGACGGCGGCTGGCGGCGCCATATTGAAAGAGGACGTTTGTTTCGTGTATCGTTGAAAACCTCGAAGATTGCAGGATGTTGTACCTCGAGGATTACCTGGAAAGTGAGTATCGGTCTCCAGCATAGCGGCGGCGGCGCCTAACGGCCGTCTCGCCCGTTAAATGCCCGTTATTTCCCGCCCGTGTGTCCGGGGCCGTTAGCCTAGCCGGGCTAGCATCCTCACCGCTTTTTCTTCCTCTGGCAGTGATCGAGCAGCTACCCATGGACCTCCGCGACAGGTTTACGGAAATGCGGGAGATGGACCTGCAGGTTCAGAGTGAGTAACCCTAACCCTAACCCTAACCCTAACCCCCGGGGGGGGGGCGGGCCCAGTCCGGGTCTGAGAGCCCGTAAACCGACCTGTGCTGAGCGGAAGTGGGCAACTTTAGAGGTTAGCTCTGGTGTTAGCACAGGCGGCTAACTGAGGACTCTTAAAGGGGCCGCAGCCCCAGCTGTGCCACATCTGGACTGTCTAACCCTAACCCTAACCCAGC